CTTTCCCTTTTTCTCCCCCCGCCCCCCTTCACAATCACCCTCTCTCCCTTCTTCTTTAAAAAAGAGGGGGGAAAAAACTCTTCCCAGACAGACTGAGGACAGGATAGGTGTCCATCATGGCAGCTCAGACAGACAGACTGCTGGGTAGAGCCCAGGGACCTGGCTCTGCCCATTGATCCTCCTCCACAGTTTCGCTGGGAGGCCATCACATTAACCTCATGGCATTCTTTGCACTCTTCATGGCTTTGTGTCTTTGCAAGAAACAGTTGGCGAGTCAAGCAAGAGAATCTCAAGGAAGCGTCTGGTGGCGGTGTCCCGCCGTTCGCGGCGGTATCTCGAAAGCACCGATGGAGAACGTCTTGAGATGACTTTGTCCTGCAGGAATTTTACAAAGCCTGATCTGCGTTTTGTATTGAAGTAGTGATCCATGAAAGAATAAGAAAACACAAACCAAAAGACTCACTTTCATGTTGCATTTGCATGCAAAACTTTTTTTGCTTAGTCCTCCTCTCCATTATCCTGAAAAAAAAGCTATAGCTGCAACTCTCTCTGCTAATTTCTGTATATCACAATATCACCAACCATTCTAACTCACAGGCTTAAAAACGTATTAATCGGTCACCCAATGCAAAGGGGAGGAACTGCACTTGAATGTAAGAGGGGTATTGTTAGATAACGGGCTGGGGTCTGAAAAAAATGATGTCTTAATTTGTTACATGGACTTTGTATGGAGTCGTTCTCGGAGGCAGCACTTTGCTGCCTGACATGGTGTCCGTGTTGTTCAATTCAATGCATGTGTTTGAGCTACAAGCTCCTGCATGCTTGCCAAACTGCTTTAGTGTTGTTTCTTTTTTGTATTTCTATGTGTAGTTGTGTCTCACTTACGTCCTCATCGACTTATCCTTGCCCTGTGTAATGTGAACTGTGTAAGGACAAATTACTTATTTGAGGTGCTTTTTTTACTTGCTTTATTTATTCAAGGGTATAATTGTTCATTTTGATTGGCCCAAGAGTGGTTTAGATTGGTTTTTTTTCCCCCTCGTGTGGTAAAATATGACATGTTCCACTGGTTAAATGTCTCTGTTAGTTTGTTGTTTGCGTGAACCTCTAAATCCTAACTGTGGTTTTGAGGAGAGAGTCACATACCATTGCCTTGACTTCTTCTTGACTCTGAGAGGTCTCTATGCGTGCTCTGTACAGGATATGGGTCTTGTACCTGCCCCTATACAGGGCACTTGTCCCCATATTAGCCCATACGGGTGATCAAATCCATATTTTGGACTATTGCATATTCCTGTATATAAAATGACGAGGTAAAGGGGATATGAGGACCCTGAAACTTTTTCATAAGAGGACTGTATTTAAGATTATAAATTATTTTAATCCCGTGATGAGAACTTAAAGACAGAGGTCGGGGTACACAGGATGGCTGTATTGCTTGTAAATACTGTAGATATTCAAAATGGAGTAATGTGCATGAGACAAAGAAACAGCAACAAAGAAAATGTTAGTGGCTACGGACTGTGAGAGGATTTTAACTGCTTCACTTTAAGAGTATCCTGTATAAGTGTTACTGAAAAGAACATTTTGTTAAAGCATGCAACTGAAAAACCTAACGTTAGAGTCATAAGTGGGAAAACAAAGTTAGCTGAAACAACGATCTTTCAGAGAAAACATTTACACTTTGTGCTTTTGTTTCTTGGCTAGCAGAAACTGAACACTTTTTGCCAGTAGTGCCATTTATTATGAATGCTATTTTGCCTAACAATATATTGTGTTAGGGAAACCAACACCCAAAAGCTATCAGTAAGATCCACAGAGACAACGCACATGCCCACACACAAACACACAATAGACAATAGAAGAGATCTAGTACTAGCTCAACCGTAGAGAAGTCTGTCAGAGGCAGACTTTCATATAGATGATGATGATGATGATGAGGAGGACGATAATGCAAGTATGCGAATTATGTAAATGGCGATGTAGGATAATGATTTAATGCCAATGCAATGACTGATGACCCAAAAAAGGAAAGGGACATTTGAGTTTTAACAATGTGGTCATACTGAGCAGCACACTTGCTTTTATTCCAACCATTACAACACAAACCCACTTTAAAGCAGGTCCAGCCTGGCCTCCAGTCAAAGCTCTCCGTATTCAGACAGAATGTGTCATCCCCTTAGTTTTCTACATATCATTTGATCAACTTTTCTCTTCTTGTCCTTATTGTCACTGCCATTCCCCATTCTTGAATTGTACTTTGAACTTCTGGAAAGCTCTGTTTAGAAAGTGCCTGCTCCATAACAGAAAACAACAGTGAAAACAATTTCAGGAAGTGTCCACTCTATGTCCCGGCAGTGTTAAACTTCATCTTGGTCTGAGTCTGTGTTATCTCAGTTTGTCAGTGGTATGAGAGAACGCTCATTGGCTGATTGATGGTCTGTTTTGAACACAAACCAGTAATTACAGTATCATGTTACGTCCCTAATTGTGTGTTTATTTTCAGTATTAGAGGAAGAAAATTATGTTATATTTCAGCCTCTGTGTATGAACTGCACTGTGGGATGAGGATGTGTTTTTCTGCATGGACTTCTGTCTTTGTTCTTCTTGCAGCAAATTAAGTGGAAGAGTACTTTAGCAGTTTTCCAGAAGACATGACTGTCACACAAATCCATTCTCGATCCTTTTTTTTTTTTTTTTTTACACATTCTTATGCACATACGATACATGCAAACAAATACAAAATAAAAAAAGCCACACCCCTTCTCTCTGTGCTTATATCTTTGGGGAAAAGTAAATCTCCCCCATAGATAATACTCAGGGTTAAAGAACAGGGAGATAGAATGTGGAGTGTTTGCTGACACTGACTTGCACCAGTAGTGACTGTGCCCATTTTGTTTTCTGTGCGTGTAAGCAAACTCAAGTGTGTTAAAAAATTCTGCTTCATTCAGTCTTTATTACTCACAGATTTTCAAATTTAGCTCTGCATCAACAAACTCCTGTGTCCCACATCTTATTTGGAAAAATACATTATATTCAAGCTTTCATCACCTTTTCCTCAAGCTACACGAATCTATACAGCTTCCTGTTTTTAAACCTTGCTTGGATACAAACTAAATTTTACATAGGTAATGCACATGATCCCGAAAGCGAGCAATTTTTTATAGTAAATTATCCCTTAGTAAACTTCCTGTTTTTAAAATAAAAATTGTGAGATGAATAACGTAAACTCTGATGATTGGAAAAACTAATTATTTTATATATTTATTTATTTTTTATTCAGTATTCTTTGTCACACTAAGAGACCCCCATGTTTTGGATAGCATTGACCAAGCTTTCATTTTACAACAAAAAGTGCTATTTATCTAAACATGCACAAACACCGCAGCTCTCTCTTTCTCTTTTTCTCGCTTTCTCTCTCCCTCTCTCGCTCTCTTCTCCCTCTCTCTCTCTCGCTCTCGCTCTCACACACACGCACACACCAAGTACAAATGCTCACGCCTATCAACAAACAAATGCACACATATTGTATTTAACAAAACTGAAAGCTGGCAGAACTCATATACAGTATAATGGTAATGTTTTTGGAGAGGATGATGACTGTAAAGAATATGTAGATTAGAAAAGTAAAAATACTAATAAAAAATTAAAATACAAACGAATAAATATTACCACAGTAGACAACTGGTAAACATGCACAGAGATAGCTTCTCTTCTCATAAGTATGTCTAGAAACGAATGGTATAACTTTTCAGGCCTTGTTTGGAGAGGACGCGGCCAAACACCACATTGCATGCTCGAATGGTAGATCCTTAGATAATCAACAGCTAGACTTCTCCTCACCTTCCTCTTCTTTTACCCTGTCTTCCCTCTTTCTTCTTCGCCCTGCCTCGGCCTCTCTTTCATTTCCTGCTTTATTCCCACCCTGCCTGCTGTTGTGTTCTCCATGCTTTCCACAGTCTTTCATTCCTCTTTTTTGTAGCCTAGTTTCTCCTTTTTGGGTTTACAAATGTGCATGCACAGGCATCACTTAATTGTTGATGTTTTTAAAAGAATATTTTGTTGCTGAGGCCATGCAAAGTGTTTTGAATATTGCCCTTATATGTGGAAAATGTCCTCTGAATGCTTTACATAATTTCTGCTGTAAAATGAAATCAGAATAAAAAGAAAATTTGCACTTTAACTTTTTTTTGACTGGAACCTTTTCCTCCAATGACGTCAACCAAGCTAAAAGGACAAAAACTTGTTTGATGATTTTATTAAATTGTGTAAAGGTAAAGGTAACTGAGTGTGCCACTAATTTATAAAGGAAAAACATAATAGCGATGTTTATTTAACAATGGCATTCATTACTAAAATGATTGCAAAAAATTAAAAAATATATATAGTTAAGTGTAGGTTATCATGTTGTAATGAGATTTAGCTGGGAATAAAGAGTTAGCATTTTGTGGAAACCTAATTCCACTATCAGTGCTTCCAAAGACCAACCCCTTAGTAGATGCTCATTTTTTCCCCTTTTTGTTCCCCATCCCCCACCTTAAGAATGTGACTGCAGACTTAGTTCGCCTCTGTCCCATCTTTTTGTTGTGTATTCCAAGCAACCTTTCTCAAATTGCCTATCTTAATCTAATAATGAGTGAGTTTATAAATGTACCACCACTGGAAACAACATTTTTGATACTTTTGGCAATGACATTAACATAAATAGTGAAGCTTCTCTAAAGAGGAAGCGATTTTGGATCACAATGATTACATTAAAGTACACTGTAAGCTTCCTCTAACTAAAGGCCCTTTATGTCCTTTATGTTCCTACATGTTTGGATTTATTTTTTTAAGATGAGGGATATGAAAGCATAACATTTAATTTTAAGCATAAAGTAGATGATGGTGTACTCCACGCATGTAACCCTTGATATATTGTAAATGCAACACAACCTGTACTCTAGGAATGTGCTGTGGACAAATTGAACAATACTGTATGGACTTCGTTGACCCTTGTATAATTCTGGAACATTACAGGGTTTTGGAAAATTACTGCCTTTCTACGTCACTTGTCCTTTTACCGTAAACTATTGTGTAGATATTTTTCAAGGTTCAGTCCATAACTATCTTAACCATGCCTCTATCGCAATTATGGGCAATGATACGTTTCTAAACAAATGTATAGCATTTAACTTAATTAAATTATCGGGTTTTTTTTATTAGGCTAGTCCAAAGAAACAACAGTGCAGACGTCGGAATATCGTGACACAATACCAGAGTAATTACGGTCGTTTGTGGAAATGACGTCAGTGTCGCAGCTGATATAAGGACGTGGTTTGTTCCGGTAAAAAATTGGATTTCGCTCCCTCGAGCGGGGCTCTTTTAGGGCAGTTTAAATACCACAAAGAGTTAATATTCTGTACTTTTTATATTTTTCATGTTTTAATCAAGTGAAACAATGAATCCTAGGCGCATTTCCTCTGCTTTTTGGACTATGTGACGTTTGTCTCGGTGCTTAGCACTTAATCGACTGGCGAAACAATGCAGGCCTAACAGCAGCAGCTAACTGGAGTTAGCGAAAGCCAAGCCCCGCACTGCAGGCTGCAGAGGGATTTAAACCTCGACCTGAGTCGTTTTTCATCGTTGAATACGCATCAACTCGGGTATGTGCGAGTTCCTATTGTGTTTTCTGTTGATTTCTAAACAAACGCCGTCGGTAAAATGGATATATGTCGTAGTAACCGTCAGTTACATAAAGTAAATAATTCCAGATAAGTTAAAGCTTTGGTCTGTTAGCGTTAGCCAGTTTAGCTTTGCTGTCTTGTTGGTTTGGCTTTTAAAACGGATGCCTGTGTCAGTTGGTTTATATATGTCTGTGGAGGTTTTACTTTTCCTCTTTAGTTGTTCCTCGTAACTGATATAACCATAATGCAACAAAGCTGAACTTCTACTATGCTTCATATATACCGGTATTCATTGCATACCAAGAGCGGTCAAACCAGTTTTTATGCGTTATTTTTTGTTTAAAGACTCAAATATGTTTAATTTAAACTAACTTTAACTGATATTTTACGAGTATCGTTGATCCACACGTCACATAAACGATACATTAGAAGGTGTGTGGTAACATTGTTGGGTGCTCGCTAGTATTTCCCAGTGTGCGATAATGATCGCTTGTATGTATTAACTGTTAGACACCAAAAAAAGACACCAACGAGTTAACGAGTTAAAAAAATATATGCAATTTAACTAATTTACTGGGCACCAAAAACTCTCTTTCTTTGCGGGGTGCTGTGAGGTAGGGAAAAGCATAGAGTAAATAAAAAATGTTATTGCTGATGATATTTATTATTCGCGTTGTTATTGGGAAAGACGGTTAAAAACCAACAATTAGTCCAAAACGACTGGCTGTGGTCACATACTGGGCTGCGTCCCTAAAGATACAATATCTTCGAGGTGAGGTATGCTTCTTCTGGATTCTCGGCAACATACAATCAGCATACCGATAACTTGCCATACGTGGTTGGAGCTCTTGCTTTCTTGACTCTGAGGACTATTGTGCTAAATACATGTTTGTTATTTTGACAGCCTAAATAAACCATGGTCATAGGTGAGTTTGAATGTCTGTATACAGTATGTGGCCTTAAAAAAAATCCATCGATAGGCGGATAGATTAAACATAGACTGTAAATATTTGCATCTAAAACGCATTAAAATATAAATACTTGTGTGAGGTAACATGAACCACTTCATAGCAAGCCAAATGTGTCCATGACTAAACTACACCAATTTCCAGCCTTATTCTTCACCCAGGAAACACATTATTAAAAAAAGCTACAACTTTTACATTGTTGTCATGAGGACTATTTATTCAGAAGAAACTTAGAACTTATTATGACTGTTGTTGTTGTTGTTGTATATCCTTAATATGTCAGCTGTTTTGAGATTAAGGGGATAGGGACAAAGAAAAACATATAAAATGACACCTGCAAAAATGCCATCTTCTTTAGATTTAATTGGTTTTATATCTTTTTGATCTCCATAGCTGTACATACGTGTGTAATTATTATTCCTGACAGACATTTAGTCACACTGAAAGGGTAGCCCATATGTGAATGAGGTCTTCTTTCGGCTATTTTTAAATTCGTTTTACAAAACAAATGTTACTTTGAATGTATCTTTAAAATTGTTTGAGAAAAATAAATACAAAGAAATGCTTAGCATGGACATGCAATATTTGCTTATGGTATTTAACAGTATATAGAATTTCAGAACACACTAGACCATAAATAACACTAATCTTAGTGAACTAAGGGCTCATTTGGTGCATAGTTCTGTCTCTGGCAGTGTTAACTAGTGTACATGTTTCCACTCAGTTCTGGAGAGAAATTAGAAAATTGTTGTCTCCAGTTACAACTTAAAAAAGAGATGCTGTAGAGTGTATGTTTGCAAAATGAATCAAATTGTTTGTGTATTATACTTTTTAAAAATAATTTCAATGGTTTTGTTTTGATAATACATGTACTTTATTTACATCTAATTTTCATTCATCTCTTTACAGCTATGAGTTCTCAGCTGCAGGTCTTCTCTCCCCCCTCCATTTCCTCCAGTGCCTTTTGCCGAGTTAAGAAGCTTAAGGTGGAAAGCAATGTTTGGGACGTGTCCACCACCGATGCTTACAGCTCCATTGCAGGCCAATCGGCGTACACTTTCACGCCTGCAATGGCAGTGCCCCCATTTGCACCCTCTCTGGTCTTCCCCCCTGCAGCCCCAGGATCCAGGGGTCAAGTGGTGGTGAGGGCAGCAGATAGCACTGGCAGTCTTCCACGTGGTTCCAGTCGACGTGTCGCTGAGCAAGCAACATCCTCTTCCTACGTTCACACTGAGACGTCTTCAGAAGTGAGGGGACACAGGCATGGACAGAAGAGAAAAATAGAAGAGGCTAATGAAGGCAGTGGGAGTGGATGTGGCAGTGTACAGATATTGGAGGAGCTTTCAGCTCCAGCAGCAACATATTCCAACCGTACTGGGGGAGGTGGGGGAGGAGGCACAGGCCAGTCTATCCCTCACTCTGCTCCAACAACCAAGAGCAGCAGCTCCAATGGGGAAGGAGATTATCAGCTAGTGCAACATGAGATCCTTTGCTCAGTGTCCTGCAGTTACGAGGTGCTAGAGTTCCTGGGAAGAGGCACGTTTGGACAAGTAGCCAAATGCTGGAAAAGGGGGACAAATGAGATTGTGGCTATCAAGATTCTGAAAAACCATCCATCCTATGCTCGCCAGGGTCAAATAGAGGTAACCAGATCTAGTACTTGTTTTTCTTTGATTGACAGTTTAGTAATTGCCGGTTTTGGCAAAGCTTCATCTCGGTGCAGCATTATGTCTCACATCAATCTATAACATTGTAAAGAGATGATTTTAGTGCATTTTTATGTTGATGCACTTACCTGGAACTGCAATTTGGTCCATTAAGTATGATTCAACAAACAATGAGAATTGACCAAACTGGCCTTTTAAAACTCAGACAAGGATTTACTGTTGTTTTATAATACCCTAAACAAGTTCAGTCAATGGCTTAATAAAACTTGTGTCTGCCTTTTACAGGTTGGCATTCTGAATCGTCTGAGTGCAGAGAATGCAGATGAGTACAACTTTGTGCGTTCTTACGAATGCTTCCAACACAAGGGTCACACCTGTCTCGTGTTTGAGATGCTGGAGCAGAACTTGTATGATTTTCTCAAGCACAGCAAGTTTAGTCCGCTTCCTTTGCGCCACATCAGACCCATTCTACAGCAGGTTCGCATTTGTTTTCACTAATAAGCTATCAAATTGTATCCCCTGCTTTTAGTCCTGTTGCTATAATATTTATGTATTTCTTATTTTCAGGTGGCTACAGCACTAATGAAATTGAAGAGTCTGGGTCTAATTCATGCAGACCTTAAGCCTGAAAACATTATGCTCGTTGACCCCCTTCGACAGCCTTACAGGGTGAAAGTCATTGACTTTGGCTCAGCAAGTCACGTCTCCAAAGCAGTCTGTTCAACCTACTTGCAATCTCGCTACTATAGGTTGGTGGCAAAACATACACCTTTTCTTTTTATTTAAACCAATATTATAAGAAATCCTAAAATGTGGGTGCTGACAAAGCAAATTGTTTGTTTATTCACTCTAACAACCTTATTTCTTTCTGTACCTGTTTGTTTTGGTTTTTTTTTTTTTTTTTTTTTTCTCTCAGAGCTCCTGAAATCATCTTGGGTTTGCCATTCTGTGAAGCCATTGACATGTGGTCTTTAGGCTGTGTGATCGCTGAACTGTTCCTAGGTTGGCCTCTCTATCCTGGTGCCTCTGAGTACGACCAGGTCAGTAGTAGTGATTACAGGGTTTAGCAGGGCTCCATAATTCTGTTTATCTATAATGATTAGATTGTGGGTTTTTTTTTATAACTAATTATAATTTCTATAGCTTTGAACAGACCTAATAAATTGGATGAGCCGAATTATATGTGTCAAATTTCTTGGGGGGGGGTTCAGATTCGCTACATCTCCCAGACACAAGGCCTCCCAGCAGAGTACTTATTGAGTGCAGGCACCAAAACCAACCGCTTCTTCAATCGAGGCCCTGATTCTAGCTACCCACTCTGGAAGCTAAAGGTGAATAAAGACACAGGCAAACACATAATTACATGTCACATCTGCAAAAAAAAAACATTGACAAGCTATGGGTATCCTTTTTTTTAATACTGTATATGAATGGATTCTTTTTCACATAAACTGTTGTTTCTTTCCAGACACCAACAGAACATGAAATGGAAATGGGTATCAAGTCTAAGGAGGCCAGGAAATATATTTTTAACTGTCTGGATGACATGATGCAGGTAATAGGCCTTTAATGACAAGTCATAACTTAGGACACAATGTTATTGTACATCACACATTTCTTTCTTTACATGAAGTAATGGCAGGACATGTTCATTTTGTGATTGTTTTCATTTTACACATTCTTTGAATTGCAGGTCAATTTGTCGTCACACTTGGAGGGAACAGATATGTTGGCGGAGAAAGCTGACAGACGAGAGTTTATAGACCTGCTGAAGAGGATGCTCCGCCTCGATGCTGACAAAAGGATCACACCCACAAAAACACTTGGTCACCCTTTTGTTACAATGAGCCACCTCATGGATTATCCCCACAGTTCTCAGTAAGTGTTCTTACTCAGGTCTGTGTATCTGTCAAGTCATTTTTTGATGTACTAACTCACTGTCTCCTTTTCTATTTGTTCAGTGTAAAGTCGTGCTTCCAAAACATGGAGATTTGCAAGCGCCGGAGTTCCTATGACAGTAGCAAATCCTTGTACTCCACTAATGCTGTACCCAATGCAGCAGCAGGAAACCTCACTGTTACCTTTAGTAGCCAACTCAACCAGCATAACCAGGTACAAGCCATGCCCTTAAACTGTTAACTCTAATACACCCTCCAACGCTGATCTAATTGATCTACTACTTGTTATAATTCTTGTTTTTATATTTTTCTATCAGGTGCCTTCAGGAGGGGGAGCAGTGCCATTGCTGAACTACCAGCCGGCTCTGTATCAGCAGGCGACCATCAACATTCCCGGGTTGACTCAACAGAGTGTGCCGATTCCTACACGTCCTGCTGGGCTGTGTAGCCAAACAGAACCTTTTCAGCAAACACTTATTGTCTGCCCACCCTCCACTATTCAAGGTAAAGATGAAAAGGAGCTGGACAACAAACACTTCACTAGTCACATTTGAGGCTACTGCAACATGTTAGTTATTTATTTTGTAGAGCTGGCAATTATACTTTGTTTAAATGAGGCATAATCTTACTTAGATTTGCTTCAACATCAATATATATATATATATACGCACGTCTTTGGAAGAAAACCTGCTTCACGAGAATGGTTGCACTTGCACTATGCAGTTTCACCATTAGATGTCACTAATTGTTTAAAGCTTCATAGAAAACTGGGAACACCATCCATGGTTATATTGTACATCAAATTAAATAGTAGCATTAACTTTTTCTTTTGTGTGTATCTGAGTAGAAGCAGTTTGAAATATTTAAAAAAAAAAATTATCATTAGAAATACTATCAAATGCCTACAGTCACAGGCTACATGCTGATCATGCTTTTGTTTGGTTCTTGGTTCTAGGGCTACAAACATCCAATAAGAGTTCCAGTTTCCCTGTGAGGATGGAGAACTCTGTACCCATTGTACCTCAGAACCAGTCAGCTCAGTCGTTGCAGATCCAGCCTAGTATGCTCACGCAGGTAAGAGTTTGCAAGTGTTTGTATAATGTGTTGTTATGTCTGAGAAGGTGTTACAATATGATAATTTACAGATTTATAAAATAACAATATTTTCTAACTACAACTGAGATTCTCTTTGTGACAAAGGTTCTGCTGGATTTACCAGTGATTATTGTAAAACTGCAGTTCTTTCGACACTTTGCAGTATTTGTCTGAAAAACATTTAACACATTATGGGTATAACATGTTTAATATGTTAAATCCTGCATTTCTTTTTTTAAATATATATGTCAATAAGGTTACGGTCAAGGTGAATAATTTGTATTATGTGTACTGCATTATTCATCATAGTAAAAGCAGTGATGCACCCTTTCTGTTTAGGTGCTTTTCTGGGTTTATCCATCTCCTGCTGACTACCACAGAAAGATGAGAAAGATGGCCGTAGAATTTTTCTGAAATTTCCTGGTTTGATGTGATGTGAAACAGACAAACACTAAGATTGGTTATTTCAGCGTATTTAAATAACACACTCTTAAAATACCAGTAGGTGTGGTGTAAACAAATGGGTCAATTATGTCTTTGTTTTTGTGGTTTTGGTTGATTGCATCCTGCATTTGGTTTCCCCCCAAACTAGATCTGATTGCCAGACATCTTTCATTCCC